AGAATCTAGTTATTTGTTTGTTTGACTCTTGTGTAAATCATCTTTATTATCTAAATTACAAATTAATTAACAAATTCTAATTACTTCCTAGACACTTTAAATATTAAAAATTATTGTACATTATCTTAAACTAAATGTAAATGTCTTGTTCGTACCTCATATTTTATGTTTAAACTTTTTGTTTAGTAGACAAAACTCACTCATAAATTTTAATCAAGCAAAGACCACATACTTGTGTTTACCACTATAGACAAAACTTCCTTATTTGACTTCATTTACCAAGAATGAAATAAAATAAAAGAAACATTAAAAAAGAAAACACTAATTAACTTTAATAATGCAGAGTGCTTCAAAGAACTTGCGTCAATGTTTCATTACGGAAAGATTCTTGTTTTTATAAGAATTTATTTTACACATAGTATTTTTCCTTTCTCTACAAACCACAGCTTATTCCCAAGAAATAAAAACCGCAAAAAACACAAGTTAATTTGTTTTAATTTTATAATCAATTTTTTCATTTTTAAGCCAAAAGCTTTGTGAATATAACATTTATCGATTTTTCATATCCATAACAAAAAAATAATAGAACACAAAATAGAAAAAAATATTAACATTTGTGAACCATCCTTTAACCAAAAATGGTGGATGCGCCGGGCTAAAATAAAAATTACATTATCAAAGTATTAATGGTTTGATATTACCATATGTGTGAAAACTAAAACTAAAGATTTGTACATTTATCTTTACAACTATTTGATTAAAAGTAAGTAAAAATTGGTCATACTCAACATTTGAACACCCATAAGTTGGACCACAACTGCTCCATTTTAATAGTATATTAGAAGTAAAAGTGATAGTTTCTAAAGCAAAGCCAAACGCTTAAGCGCAAAAATAGAATTTTTACTCTATGGCTGAAAGGTAAAACTTTTACTTGTGACATTTAGTCATAATCACCAAATGGTGACGTTTGTGATATTTGCGGATAAAAGTTATTTTTTTAATGTCTGCTTTTCAATACAAAACAAAAAAGACACTAATTTCAAGTAAATATTTTCCGCTGATTTGCATAATCGTAATGAAATAAATCTCAGTGTTGTGGTGCTAAAAGTTCAATAAGGCGCATGTGTTCGTGTTTGCGTTTCTGTTTGTATCTGTCACACAGATGTATACTCAGCATTACAGGAATCTTAGAAACCTTATTGATTCAGCTCAGTTCTGGTTTCCATAACTCCAGTCTTCCAGTTTGATACTCTGGTATACATATTTCAGTTGGCTTTCTTATACTGAAATTGCATTTTGGCCCCTTGAAGATAATGATCGAATTCGCACTCGGCTTCTCTTTAACTTTAAACATCTTCTATACGGAAGTGCGAAATTTATCTCGTCGTGATGTAATCTAAAATTAACTTGGAAAATAAGTAAAACGAAAGCATTTAAAAATAAAACGTTCATTTTTAAGACACAAAAAATGCAATTTAAAAACATTGCACAAATTTATTAATAAATTCGTCGCCGGTAGCGAGAACGTTTTTGAATTTTTAAAGAGGTTGCGGATTTAAAGGTAATTAAAAAACCTCACCAACATTTTATTGATTATTGAGTTTATGGATGATGGTTAATTGATCAAATCCAGGGGCAACTCTAAAGATAGACAATGACAATAGCTTAGGAGGTCGTAAATAAAACTCATACAATCGTGTAATTAACAACCAATCAATTTTAGCTTTTGTTTCTAAAAATGTTTTGTTTTGGCGGTTTCCGCGCTATATATCACAGTCAAAGCATTCTAAATGATATTTATTGGGAGGGATAATGACCAATTTAACATGTAAATGTGCAGAAGGGTCCCGAAAAAATCCCATCATATGAAACCTGCAGGAAAATTATTTTAAGAGAAAATCGCTCTTTTAGCACAACTTATTTACATTTTTGAACAAATCAACATAAAGGTTATTAAAAGACTTAAAATCAAAAATATAGATTTTGTCCTTGTTCCAAGCGCCTTATGAGACGGACAATATAAAAAAATATTGTTGTTAGTTTAAGAAAAAAATTATTTGAAACCTTACTTCTGCAGCATATTTACTACCGCACTGCACTAATTGCTTCAAATGGTCCCACAAGAAAATCACATGAATAGAAATCCGAGAACTTGTCGATGTCAGGTTACGCTACGGTCCTCTATCCATATTTCAAGTTAATTACCCTTCCACAAGACATTAGTTTTTAAGTCCTCAAAAATCACATCGTAAATTTGCAACATACAAAAATATGAGATATTGATTAACCTTAAAAAAATAAAATAAAGTTTTCAGTTTTGAAACTAGAGAACTAAATAACTGAAATGATAAGTTTTCCTTATGCTGATGAAAAATGTTTACTGAATGTTTCAAAAAAGGTTCATCTAAAACTTTTTTGCTTTTTTTATGTGCCCAGTTATGATCGATATTTTATAAGCAAGAAAGACTTATATTTGGTATTCATAGTAGTGGAAAAAAAACATCTGACTTTCTGAAATAAATTTCGTATACGTGCATCCACACGTTGGAACTTGCACGCACGTTGATGTGTGTACACCCAAAATTTGTGCTGATTACAGTTTTGTGTTCGGGTGGCCACAAAATTATTAAAAAATCAAATCCATAAAAGGTTATAAAAACGGTATATCTTTCTGGCGATTTTACATTTCTTAAGACATCAACTCAGTGTATAAGAGCCTTTATGTGAAATTGATTCAAAGAGTGAAATTTATCTCTTAATAGTGCGCAGTCATTAATTAGTGTTATCACTTATCAGACATTATTCATTATCATTTATTTGTTGTTTATATCTTTAAAACAGCTTAAATAAACCAAATGGCTCAACAAAAATTAAGTATCTTTGTACCTCATAAAAAATAATTTGTAAGATAAATTGTAAGCTGACTTTTTTGTTATTAATTTTGCAAATTGCAGCTGCGTATAGGTACAATAATCCATAAATTAAAATATTTCAACATTTCTTTATACTATGCATGTTGCAATAATTTTTGTTCTTTTTTCGGCATATTTTGGCTGTTAATTAGTTAATGACACCAAAGAGTTAACATTTAACAGTAAATATAAGAAAACGACTACTTTTATAAACTAAAATATGAGCTAAACTAAAAAACTTTCTGATAAGTGAAAACTAATGATAGTTTCTGAAAACTTTTATCATTAGTAGTACATTTATATTACCATAAATATTGCAAAATAATAATTTAATTATTTTAATTAATTAGGTATAATAGTTAATTTATCAAAAATACATTTGTATAATGTATCAATATAAACGTCTTCTAAAAAGTTTATTTAAAAATAAAAAATTTACAATATAAACGAATTTAGCAATATCAAAAATGGTGGATGCGCCGGGATAGAAACAATAAATATCTCTTCGTTGGCATCAAAATTTTATATAAAATTTATAAACCTTTATTATTTTTGAAATACATTTTTGAACAACTTATTAAATACAATTCATACTTTACTAAATTAAAAAAAAAAATAAATTACTTCTATTTACTGCAATATTTTGTTTAATAAATAAACACTAAAGCCCGATATATTTGATTTAATTCCTACACCAAAAGTATTTTCGAATGCAGTTCAAAACCTTTAATATTTAGCATACGATAGGCAAGTTTCACTCCTTTCCAATATTTTAATTTAAAAGTTTTAAATTACTCAAAGTTAACTTAAACTAATTAACTCACAAAATTTGCGAAACTACTTCACTACAATTCCCAATCTAGCTCGTATCCGACTTTGTACCTGTACCCACCTACATCTATATAACACCCTGTTATTTCTCTTTGTCTTGCTTGTCGTGTCTCAACACTTCTATGACATTCGTGATCGTGACAATAATAATTCCAAGTTTTCTTTATAATCCACCTGTGCTCTTATGGCGTCATTATAATACGAGTGGAATAGCATTTTTCCCCTAATTTCAATGCGAAGGCTCCCTTGGTAGACAAAATCTCCTCACGAACCCTTGTCCTGTTATTCATTGCAACCGTTGTCAGTTACTTTGGACATGACTAAATGACTAGCCCAAATAAAACAAAACTTCCGACTATTTTACTCTCGTTAGCGGTATTGATTTTACTTTAGTGAAAAGAATCTTGTAATACTAGCTTTAAACTAAATCGACTTCAGGAAACAATTGAGAAAAGAAGGATGTATGTTGAATTCCGCGAACAAATTTTCTTTCTTTCCCAAAGTTTGGCAGGTATTTTCAAGTCTCGAGAGAAACTTTAGTCGCTTTCGTAGAGCTTTATTTAGAACTAAAAATCTGCGTTTCTATGAAATGAACAATTACCCATACTGTGATTTATACAATTAATTATAGTTACATTTCAAAGAAAATTTATTGGAATGTTCAGGAATGCATCAATTAATCGGCCGTTAACATCAAGATTCCTTTCCTTTATAAATTCATAGAGGTGTGATTATCAACAGTAAATCTTTCTTGACCCTTTTCATTATCAATGTAAACATCTGACTACAGCTATATCTTTAGGGAGTCGTCAATCAATGATTAGCTTAACTGATGGTCAGCACTTTCAACGGTTCCCCAGTTTATTATAACCAATACAACAATAAAATAATTTCTGCCAACAAGTTCTTTCTACCAATAAACAAAAATATGTAAGATTCTTGTTGCAAGTTGCAACACTGTCTTAGCGCTACATGGAGAATTTTAAACACGTCACGTACTATTACAGATTATTTTCGATTCATTTCCAACACAAAGTCGATTTCTTCAGTGCAATAAATATCTCTATCAAAGCAAGTTGTAAAACATGACGAGTGGCACTTTAGATTTTCAAATATCGGTTTAAGATGGAAAAACAGCATCAAAATAATCAAACTCGTGGTTGGGTTAGATAAACACAGCCACTTGTTCTTACAATTTTTATTTCTGAAGTTGTTGAAATTAAGTTCTGGACATTGGAAAATTAATAATACAAAACGTAAGTGCATCTATTATTTAATTTACAATTTTATGTACATTATCAAAATGTACAGAGTGATTTTTATTAACGCCTCTTAACTTGTGAACTGATATAAACTATAAAAATTACAAAGAAATAAGCAGCCAAAACATGTGACACTTTAAATAAAAAAAACTGTGCAATTCTTCGACATGATTATTACGTTTAATGATTATTTGCCGTCAAATAGCAAAATATTGTTAGTTTCCTGTTTGATAATACAACTTTCGATCTATCACAAAACTGAAATAAAAATCATAAAACAGTTCACAATCATGAGAGTTTTAGGTTAAAAAGTTGCACAAATGACAAAAAAATAGAAAAGTGATATGCAAGCTTAATATTGTAATTTTAGAATGTTTAATAAGGTGAAAAGTAAGCTCGAATGGCCCCTAATCAATAAAAATTTAAGTCTTTTGGACTGTTAGTCAAAGAGGACATAAGATAAAGATCACCTGTATGTGATGTTTCTACCGAACTGATTTAAGGCCTCTATTGGCTTTCGGACATTTATAATATATATAATAATATAAAAGATAAACATTAAAATAACCTATTTACAGAAGTAACAATTAAAACCAAAAATAATTGTACTGAATAAACAAAACACCCACGTTCTTCTACAAAAATTGCAATATTAAATACTCAGTCAAACAAGTTTTAAAATATTGTTCACAAAAAATTACAAATCTTACGAAATTGCATCTGTAAAAAAGACTAGTACGGACTTATTGCAACACTAGCGCAATTATTATTTTATTAAAAACAACAAAAGCAAGGTGATCCAGAAGTGGGTGCAAACAATGTATTTTACTAACAAAAAGAAAAACAACAGCAGGTAAAATCTATATAATTTTCTCTTAAAATTTCTAATTATGGAATTAAAACAGACAAAAATGCCCCATAAGCGTGTATAAATATATTTACAAGAGATTTTCCAATGGCACCATTTGATTCCATTTCATATTAACACTTTCTGATGCTAGTGATAAGTAGTTTTTTCGTAATGAATAAATAAGTTTGACATTGAGACAGCTCAAAAAATTAAATATTAATCGTGACCAAACAAATAGGCACTTTGGTCCAGTTTTTTCTTAGAAAATATTTGTAAAAATCTAATTTTAATATTTAACCAATGTTAACTCAACAATAAATATAAAATGAATGAAATGACACAAATACAAGGTTCTCATCATTACGAAATAGCCCAAAGTATACACTCAAGAAAACATCGATTTTGGAATGTAGTTTTGAGCCGTTTCATTACAACTTCCAAAATAAGTTGCGATATTTACAAATCTGTGCCGTTATTAATACACCTTAAAATAATTTCTCTGCCTGTCAAATACTCGGGCAGTAAAATATATCTTTTTAATAAGAACACGACTATATACAAAATTTTTAAGCTTCCAATCAGTCAATTAAGTACGACAACTATTTAGTAATCTTGAGAACCTCAGTTAAAGTTACAATCAATGTGATCATAAGCAAATAATTTGTACATGAGCAATGATGAAAACCGATTTCCTTTATAAGAAATCAAAGAGATCTCGTAACCCTTCGTTTGCATCCAAACTGAAGTTATATTCAGAGTGCATTGCTGGCGGTTCCAAATGTAGAAACGGTTCGTTTGGGAAAAACGAGTCAATTGTATACCCTGAAATAGAAACAAACCAATCAATATCCCACCAAGTCGCACAAAAAATTATACTTTTTTTAAATGGCAGGCATTTGCAAGCAGTTAGCAGTTAACCAAACGATGAGCTGAATCCCATGGTGCTACGCAAAACAGCAGCCCACATGAAATTCAGTACAGCGTAATGGCAAAGCGTCCCATGTTATATTTAGCAGGAAAAAACAAAACACAGACACTTGCAAGACTGAAGCATGATTTTAATGAGTTAATTGGTTTATAGGAGTTGAGAAGCAAGCTGTAAACGCATAGCTAGAACTCTGCCTGTGATGTGAATCAGACACACACAGGTCACAGTCAGAATCCCAGAATGCAGTTACAATGTAAGCGTTTGTTAGATGTTTTAGTTAGTAGCAGTGGTGTCTCTTCGAGTTATTAAAATAAGCAAAATTGTTAAACAGATCCAACACCTGTAAAAATTTAAACCGACAGCGTGGTTCAAATGATAAACACAAACAAAGCTAACATTTCCGTTGTTAAGTGGCACAATTTTCATGTTTTGAAGATTAGACGTTTATCAAAAATCCGTTAATGTAACTGATAAGAACAAACCTGTTTGTATGTTTGCTGTATGCATGGAGTAAGGTCCCATCATGGGCCCTAGTACCTCATTATCATTAATGAGGGGTACCGTCCCCAGTTTCAAACTGCTGGAATCCAAACAAGTTGGGTAACCATCCACCAATGATGGGTAAGGGGAGAGCCGTAACGGGTCCATTTCTGCAGGCGTTGGTTCTTGAGATGACGTTAAAACGTTATTATATGTAAATGGATTTTGTACTGATAGTGGCGTACGGGCACTGACCACTGGATCTTTCGTAAATGATAAGTTCCTGCATATCTGCAACAATTTTTCACACTTGGTCAACACTCAAACTCCTAACACAAAAATAGATTCAATTCTAAAGTCCACAAAAAATAGGCATTATCTAGAAATTAGAACTAAATTATCAATTCGTATCTAAAAAACAGATAATTCCTTTTAATTACCTAAATTAATTAGCCTTTTTGAGAAATTATTGTTAATAATTAAACCCTCTAGTGAATAGTTACTTAATTTTTCAATAATTCAATTCTTTGTTATTTAACGTAACGACTTGAAGCATTTAATTCATTATGATTTGACCGATTTAATTTCCTAATTCGAATTTCCTTCATTTTAGAAACCGTCATATCCAAGCAAAATTCGATAACTTAAACTGATTCATTTCACGAGTACAATGCTCTTTTAATTTTCAAGATAAGATCACTTGAATATGGTGTAATTATATTTCAGTTCTATGAATACGTCATCAGTTCAAAATTAAATGTCCTTGCATGCGCTTTGTGCCTTTTATCAACAATTCTCACGGTTAATGTTTGGAAAATCAAAGCAAAAACTTAAGAGATTTACTTAAGAGAATAAAGATTAAAAACACTCAATTAATTAGAGTCTCATTGTTGTAAAGTAAAAAAATAAGTATTAAATCACTTTGTTAAATTTAGAAATTTTTGTCAAAAACTTGTTTTTACATTTATTCTTCGACACTGTCAAAATTTACGGTTTTTCTCCCGTGTAAGGAAGTTTTGACAACTGTTTGGCATTTCTCAATACGAATTCGAAGAATAAAATGCTGTATTCAACTCGTTTGAGTGTAAATCGGACGCTTTATTCCACCTCGTGGACGATAAACCACTCGTTACACTCGTGGTTTAATAACCCACTCGGTGAGATAATCCGTCCAATTTACACTCAAACTCGTCGAATAAATAACTATTCCTGCTTAGAAATTTTTGACACCAACTGTAATAATTTTAAAATAGTTAATTTCTATGATTTCTCACTACTTATTAAATTTTACCACATGGTAATAAACAAATTATAACTTTAATTTTTATAGTGAAATATGCAACATATATTTTTATTTTTAAATTTTCAATGACAAAAGACTGATCTAGTTTTATCTATTAGTCAACATTTGCAAGACTAAATTTTGTTAATATCGTCATGGCCAATTGGGCCTACTTTCAACATTTCACAAGTGATTGTTCACATCATCGTCAATAAATGTAAAAAGTTTTCACATTTCCTTGGCGCAGCTAAAGGTCAAACCCATTACATCACTGACAAATTAATCGTTGCATTTTTGATAAGTTAATCTCCTACGTGTATAAAATACAACCAAAATAAATAATAAGAAAATAATTTCCGAAAATACACATGCGTATTGAGACTACACGCGCAAAGCCGGTACCAGCGGAATTGCCTCCATTTCCTGCTATCTAACCTCAATGGAATTACGTAAACATTGTAACCGAATTTAAACCGGAATTTTACTCGAACCAAATATGGATAAAAATAAAACATAATTCGCTACGTGATAAACATGATAACCCAAAAATTTCAATCTTAATCTTTAATAAATTTGAACGCTAGACCAAGAGATACGTACCTGCGAGGAAATTTGCTTTTGCGGTGCTCTAGGACTGTCGAAAAGAGGCACAGGTGGAGTAGTCAAATCGAAACTTGGACTGAATTTGATATCTTTAAAGTCATCCTCAAGAGGTTCAGTCTTTGGTTTGGCAGGTGGTACATATTCAGGACATAGGAAAACCTCGATTTCCCCCGTGTCGCTCTTTAATTGAATACTGTATTTATTGTCCTCTTTGGAGGCGGTTTTCACCGATAAATGCGTTTTCGGGGGCGCTTTGACCACGATAACTGTATTCTGTTTGAACTTTTCTATCGATCTCAAATCCTGATAAGTGACAAACCCATGTTTGTCGTTGTTTAACCCCATCAGTTGTTTTTTTACTGTGTTGATCATTCGATTGAGGTCGTTTTCCTGATTCTCCAAGTCCTGCAGGTCCTTGGTGAGTCTGAGGAACTTTTCGTTGTCTTTCCGACTGGCTTTCCACTGAATATTGTTTTTGGATTTTTTCTCGATGATGCCTATGCCCTCCAGGACGTTCGTGATGTCGTAAATTCGGCGCTTTTGCACGTTGAGTTGCTGCGAGGCCTTGTTGAGATCGACGACTCCGTTGGGGGATTCCTCGAGAAGGGCCGAGAATTTCTGCGTGAGGAGCCCCAAGGACGTATCATATCGCGTGTTTTTTTTCGTAGGGGTCAACCGTTTTTGCTTTTTGGGCTGCGGGGGCTTGAATTCCTGCTTCAGAGGCACCACTCGGCCCCGTTCAAGTTCGAGGTTAAGTCTCCGTTTAACTGGCGCGGTTGCATTCGGAGCCGCCGATGGGAGCAATTGGTTTTGCGGCGTGGCCCCATAGCCGTGATCAAGCAAATGGGGGCTGGTCACGTACTCGGATTTGACGATGCCCATGTCGGGGGTGGTCTCAGACATTGCGGCTCTGTACCCCCTGGGGCTTTCCGTTCGGAGGAAAGGTCGAGGCATTTTGTCTATTGTTCAAATCATTAAAATTCACGGTTGAGCATTGGTGGCCGATCTGTTGGAAAACACGCATTTAAAAACCGTTGGAATGCGAAAGGGGAGGGTCTAACGCATCCCGGAATAACTAACGATTTTTCGGGGGAGAAGCCGCAACCGGGGCGAGTTTCCCCATCAGGGGGTAGACCAGGGCCTGAAGGAAGGGTCGAGCGCCCCCGTAGCAGGGGGTTCCAGTGATCTTATCCCGAAAATCCACGCCACCCTTCCTTAAAGTCCAACCGCCATCACTCGACACGAAGCCCGAAATTACCGGGGATAAAAAGAGATTGGGGCCTACCTTGCAGGTCGGGCTTCTTTCCTCGGATGTCTCACACTGTATTACTTCCTCAACCGAGATATTTTCGAAAACACCGGGTCAAAAACGAGATGTTCCGGAATACTAAACAAAATGGTTTCCAAACCACTTTATACAAAGCAGCTGGGTTCGCGGCGACAAACTCGGCCTCAACTAGCATCAGGCCTCATCTAATAACGAAAATTTTACCAGATTCATGTTCCGCAAAGTGTGGACTTTCACGCGGTGCTACTAGATTTGCGATAGGGGGGCTAGTTGTCTCACAAATAATTATTGAAATTGCTTACGATTTTGCCAAGCGTGTACAAGTACGCACTGGTTACAAAACATCTGCCATCTGTACCGGGCATTGGCGCCAACAAGCGCGCCTGCGCATCATCACTCATCTCAGATGTTTGAAGAATATTTTTATTTTCATTTCCTACCTGGATTATTGTGGATTTTTTGGATGCACAATCAACGAAATCGGCCACAAGTGAGAGAAACAATACTTTTTCTAAACAAATGGGTGATGGTAGGATTACTAAATTCGGCACATTTCGAATTATAAGCACGTTTATTCGTAACCTATTTGACAGCGAGAGAGATAGCAAATGTAAACAAATATGGCAGTTGGAAGGCGGGGGAATCGAAGCATAAATATCCAGATACGGTCCTTATGTCATCGTCTTCCAGGGGGTCGCCGAAGGGACCTCATGGTTCCCAACTTAGATAATGACAAGAATTTTTTGTCACGTTTGTGTAACCATTGCCGTTTATTTCAACGTTAAATAAGGCAAAGAGAAAGAGCGCACGTTCTAAAAAGTTGAAATCAAACAAAACTAAGCCAAAAATTTGCAAATTCACTCTAGAAATAAACAAATTCAAATATGTGCTGCACAGTTTACAGTTTTTATCTTCTACAGCAATTAAATAAATAAAAATTTAAAAGATTCAATTCTTGTAATTTCTGTCTTCACTCTTGATTTTTTACTATTACAATTTATTATAGTAGAAAATTACTAATTATATAATTAGTTAAAAAGCAACACTTGCACTTGCAATGCAAAATTAATTGAAATTTCATTCATATTTTTTCTTTGATTTTTTTTATAGTAGGTACATCCCCGAAAATTAGTCAAGCATTAGAGTGATTATATTCTCACCTTTGAAAAAAGTTTTACCTGTGCACAATCAGTTTTTCCCCTCTGGATTATCATTTAAAATAAAGGTATCACAGGGGGTGAAACTGCTATACATAATAGTAGTCACTAAAATGGGGATGTTGAGAAAATCTCCCTGCCATCTGCTTTCCCTTGCCTTTTTAAACTTCTTCAGCCTCTGCTTTGATTTACTTACTTACCTGGTGCACTGCCTATTTTAATAATCTGTTAGGTATTGATGCTCGATTATTATTCGATTTGTGTTTTGTTTTGTCATAATAAAGTTGATTTTTAATAAGTGAAGTGGTATGGAATCCCTTTCTAATTTTAAAACACGAAATGCACCTTCAAATTCCTTTCTGCTTTGATCTCTGTCTTCCTAGTGCGGTAGTGAACAGTCCAATAAATAAAAAAAAGCTGCAAAGTATTTTTATTCATTCTCCTTTAAACAGATTGTGAAATCAATGGGAAATAACTGGCATAAATTATAAAAATATGGCATTAAATGCCACGACTTTACAACTTGTTTCTTTTTTTTACACTCTAAAAACTGTATATTTGTAATAAACTAATAAACAATGCAAGAGTATAAGTTCTTTGTAAGAAAAAAAAATCGATACACAAAATACATTTGTTACTTTAGCCGAAAACGCAAAGGTTACATGAAATAAAAAGAAGAAATGAAAAAAAATGTAATTTTATTCGTCTTTTTTGAATTTGGAGTATCCGACCAATGGAAATGTCTTTTTTGACCTATGTATATTTAAAAAATATCTTTTGTATGAGATATTTAAAAACCAAATTTCTAATTGTAATCAAATGCCAAGGTTTTAAATAGGTTTTCGATTGTTACAATTTTTTGTGGCCTCTTGCGATAGTTTTTGTAGAATTTTAAGGTTTTATGTACCCACTTCATAAAATTGAGTGAGTTGTAATTAAAAAATACTTACCTATTGGTTTTTAATGAAAATATTAAATATTGCTAAAAATTTAAAAATTTATTTTTCTAAGTATAAACACTTACTTTAGTACTATATTATTTAATCTAAATATAAATTATTTCTTTTGATTTAAGAATTCATAAATAATAAATGAAAAGTAGATAGTTGAATACCACTGCAATAATTATTACAATATTTTATTTAAATGTACGAATCGTTATAATGATTAGGTTTCTAACCATCATTCACGTTTGGCAAAAAACAAAATGTCGAACATTTAGTAAAACGTCACAAATAATGTGTCTACAGATCTTAAAACCTATTATTTATTGAACCTTAAGTCTCAATGAGAGCACTTAGAACACTAACTACAAAAAAAATTAACATCTATTTTTTGCTTACTATATTTATTAACTTCCACCATTTCTTTTTTATTCTCTTATCATTTTTGACTCTCGTTTCCTCCACAATCATTGGAATGCTCTTTCTTATGGCAATCGTAAACACTTTATCTCGATTATCTGATTTAATTTACAACACAATAACGACACATATGTTAAATTGACTTTCATGCTGAGAACATTCACCAGAGGTTTAATATCTAATAGAAAATAGTACGAAAGTATAATTTTTCTAAATATGTACATATTTTTCTTATTTAAGATTTGACCCAACTTGATCAAAATATACGAGTATAAATAACAATCAGCGTTTTAAACAGAGTAATAGCTTTTGTGTGTGAAGGTTCAGTACTGAAACACATATTTGATTCAATAAAGTTTAATTATACTACTGTGGTAAAAAATAATAAAATCGAAATACATTATCGTACATATTAATATACTAACTAAACTAACATGCATTCAGTAAACTAAATTTACACATTCATAAACAGATCGCATAATAAATATAATATACAGCCGTAGATCCACAGAGAGCCATATTTTTTGTGAACATAAGTGATCCCCGTCCAGCTACTCTACAAGCAGGCATCAGTGCCGCAAAAGTACAATAAAACAACCAGATCGCTCCAATTTAGAATACATAGTTTACAATTTAATTACATAACTCCAAACGGCTCATTTTACAGAATATTTTTACACATGTATTATACAGTTTACAACGTGATAACCAAATGGAATTTACACTTTACACTTGTTTAGTATCTTTACATCAGTCTGAGGCCACATTGCCATTCCAAAATTAATTGGCCATCTTAACCTTACCTCCCCGCCGCTCTATTTTATACTAGGTAATACTCGTCAAATTCATTAATGTAGAATTCACTCGCTATTTTCGAAAAATTCAACCAAATACTGAATACTGTCGACCCAAAGAGTGAAAATTGCCATTAATAAAGTTGATGAGTAGAACACGATTTTTATATGATAAAAATACAATACAAACAATTTCTAAGTACAAAATGGATTATTTTACATTATTACACTATGAGACACTTTACTATATAAATACATGTGACACAATTTAAAAATGATTAACATATATACATATCACTAGCGGGAGGGGAGAGATGGTGTACAGTAATCCTTAATAAGTGTACAAGTTACCGACATGGCGTTTGTGTGGCTGTTTGGAAATGTTATGAACGAAACTATATTACATATAATACAAAATGGGTATTCTATGTACACATACCAAAGATGACTGAAGTGTTTTTGTTCTAATACCATTCAAAATTACAAAAAGTTTTATGTACTCTTACAAATATTGTATAATTTCAACACAGATTAGCTCAAAAACACACAATTACACATAAACAGTCATAAATGCAATAAAATTAATATAATGGAATTTACGAAACTGTACAATTACTATTTTATATTTCAATACTTTTATCGAAAAGAAACGTGCTTCAAATTCTATTTTATAACTAGACATTATTATGAACTGTTCAAAACTAATGCTACTTATGAGAAAATGTATTCGAAACTAGAGTTGCAATAGTCATTTAAACGAAACGAGTCACATTTGAACTTGTCAAGTATTACTCAATCGATTTTTCTATTCAAGTTAAGGTTTTTCGTGAATTACTACATCAAACATGACTAAACTACCATAAATGCAAATATTTTGTGTATTAAATGCCGTTAGCAGCTGCCGTATTGGCCCAAAAATAATGTATGTATTTTATCTACCTTATGTAGATATTGTAAAATTGTTTTTTGATTTACGTCAAAAAATTGAGTCAATACGGCCTTTCCTAAAATTTTTAATAAATTTAAGCAATTGCTTCAAATGTGTTAGGTTTGAATGTGGTAATGTGTAATGTGCGGAACTAGAAAAATTTTGATTTGGATGAACTTGAATGATGTCAAATCTATTTCCTGAGGACCTTATCACATTTTTAACATACTGTTGGGATAATTTGGGGGACACTTAATATTCCATAATTTAAAAAACTGTTTAGTTTTTATGTACAGATATTCGGTTTTAATTTTAGGGGAAATTTTACAAGACATCCATTTCGAAATGAATTAAAATAAAATTTGAGATTCGTTTCAGAACTCTGTTCTATCATTATAACTGTTTCAGACACAAATAAACATGCACATGATGAAATTGATTGCCTTTTGTTTTACAGGCTCATCCCGAACGTAAAAAATGCAAAATAAATTAAATATTTATATATAAAAAAAAACTTAAGAACGACTTCGCTACAGCTCGTGAAACAAAAGTCAAACAATGAAACGATGAAACTTGATGCAAGACAAATTACATAAATTACAGCTATAATACAGATATTTGTATGTATTCACAATAACATATGATTAACCTTACAAATAAAAGTCAAAAATAAAAATTACGAACTGAAAATTCCATCGATGAGAAAAAAAAAATTAACGAAAAATACTGGAACCTTGTTGGTGTGTTAAACAAAACTCAAGTAACACACACAATTGGTCAAAAAATTAAAAATATATTTAAAATGAAAAACAACGCTTAAATTAAAGCACTCCGTTGGTCGGTGGTCCAATGGGACCAAGCTCTCCTCCGATAGAGCCCATAGATCCAGGAGTTTTCATGAAATATTTCTCCAACTTGGCAATAATATGTTTGCCGTAAGTGTATTTCCTCAACGAATTAAGATGAGGTCTTATTTTATGCATCAACACCTTTCGTTGTGTCGGCTCACTCACATCTATCATTTTTTGAACCACGTAATTCGCATACTGATCTTTCATCATGACATGTAGAGCACTAGACAGAACAAAACATTTCAAAATAAAACTCTACAAACATCAAAACACTTACTTGTCATTAAATCCACACACTTCCTCGATTAGTAGCGCCCTCTCAGCTCGGGTCGCGTGAGTGACACACTTCTCCACGACGTTACTGGCAAATTTATGTTGACTTAAAGCTAAAACTTTTCCTCTCACGCTGCTAATCAGCTGACTCTTATCTTCGGGCTTTCCGTGTTCTGAAAGATATTTTTAAGTCGTAATTAGACGCTTCAAAACCGGCCGAAAATTTGGAACAAGACTCGTTTTTAGAACTGCAGACTTACCCAACACATGCTGGATGACATAGTTTCCAAACTGATCCTGGATCAACTGATCGGTGTGTTGATGTAATTCGGCTAAAATTGGAGCAGTCTGCTCAGGTGTGCAATGCTCTAAAATGCGCTGGATGACTCTGCAACCGTACGGATGAGTCGACAACGTGTACACTTGCCCTGAGAACGACTGAATGATAAACTGGAACAAATGAAAAAATTAATAAATCACATTGTAAATTTAATTTTGACTATTTAATTACTTGCAAAGCATTGGGATCCACACATTCGATACACTTTTGGACCACATGATTTCCATTTTGGTCCTTGACGCATTTCAAAACATGACCGTCTAATTCTCTCACAATTTCTTGCTGTTGTTCAGGCGGAATCGATTCGAGAGCCTTTTGTATGACCCGACAACCGTACATTTGTAGAGCTAATGGAAGCACATGACCTCTGACTTTCTGCGCCAACGTCGTCTTCTGTTCAGCGGTCCCGAATTCGAAGAATTTTTGTATAACATAATTGCCGAAGACGTCAGTCATAAGATTATAAGCTGCCGATAGAATTTCATTGAAAACCATTTGTTTTTCGGTCGCCGAAGCTCGTTCCAATTTCTGTTGGATAAACCGCGACCCGTGCTGGTCCTGTGAGAACTCCACAATGTGATTGGCCAAATCTCTGTAAAAATATGAATTAGAAAAAATCCGATTTGGAAAGTTATCGTCGAACCTCAATTGTAAATTGGGATATCTGTTATTTCTAAAGTCTTCAAGCAGGCGTGATCGACCCTGTTGTCCCTTATCCAACGAACTCGGCACCGTCGATAACGATGAATTTATTTTTGTGAAGAGCGAATTCGTCGATCCAAACATCGCATTCGTTGTCAGTCCTGCAGCCACAGAATTTCGGTATTTCGCTTCGGCCCCAGGTGCCGCCGAGAGAACCCGCGAAGTCATCAATCCACCCAATTGGAGAGGCGCCGACGGTGGAGGTGTCAGACTTCCGGTCAAGGGACTCGGACTGCTGCCGATGTTGTAGGATGTTGGCCATTTTTGTCTGTAGTCCAGCGACGGCGAGAATGCCGAAGTGTTCCGGTCGAACGAGTCGCGACGACCAGACGATGTCGTGTTCAGTCCCAGGCCTACAAAGTTGTCTACATAAAACATTTCAATTTTTTTTTATACTGCTTGTATAAACATTAGATATATTATATTTAAGTAAATATAGGCCCAAACAAATGTAAAAATTACAATGTTTACTGATATAAAAAGCAAACGCTTGAAAGTTTACAGAAAATTTTACTCGGCTGTGATGCTGTGAAAAATGCTGATTTCAACACTAGCAAATAAAATAACCTTTATTATGGTTAGGAATAATTTGAGTTTCAAAAATATTCCTGCAATTTTTTTTTTTTTTTCTAAATAATAGAAAGTTTACCAATATAACATTAATCTTTTTTACAACTTTGTGATTAGATTACTGTTAGCTTTTTCTCTGACATGTGGCAATGATTCTGTCGTACTCAGATAATCTTTTAATGCCAGTTCTGACCAATCCGATTGATAAGAAAATCGTGTTGTAGTTACATTTAATTATTGAACACAATTTCTGAAAAAAAACTTCGAAATCATAAAAATACGTCTATTTAGACGTTTTAATAATTTCTGATAAAAAAATTATAACCAAATGCTTCATGCTAATTACTTTTTTCAAGTAATACAGAAATATTTACAAAAATGAATCGTTCCAACTTTTTAGGTTCGGCGATGTAAAATCAAACATTACAAATTTTATTGCACCTAAAAAACTGGAACACAATGTGGGCATGCATTGTTAAATGTTATTTGATATGTACAAAAAAAAATACAACATTGCAGCCAGCAACGCTTCTCCTACCTGTATGAAGCGACGTAGTTGTAGCAGATGAACCGATATTTCCTAGAGAAGAACTACCGAATGGAGCAGAAGGTGGTGCTGCATGAAGAGGTGGGAATAACCCAGAACCAACACCTTGGGCCACACCTACCCACACCAACCACAGTTAGTAAAAAAATCAACAAAACAAAACACCACAAAAACGTTCCAAGCCGTTGCAATGACGAAAGTATAAAAAAGTATATTAGACGTTCTGCATCAGCGGGAGAATTTTTAAGAGTAATTTTCCAAGGAAATGCCTTTCTAAATGACGACTGAACATGGAATACAGAATCGATCGTGTGGAGTTGTTAGTTTTGTCAGAAAAACAAAGACACCAATCAATTGAAATTTTGTAATTATTCACCCTGAGCAAAACGTTAAAAAAACTAAACAATTTTCATTGAACGGTAATTTGAAAAATAACACGAATTAACAGAATGATTTGTGCTTGAAATCATGTCAAACGCATCATTAATTGTGACGCTAATTACTAAAGTGTTAGAATCTTCAATTACTTCAATCTAAACAATTTCACACTGAACTGTTTCTATTTAGATGGTGATTTTGATTAATATTTCAAAAAATTATAATAAAAAGCCAAAAATACAAATACGTCAAAGAAAATTACGCCCGATATTACCCCATAGTGCTGTTAATTAGGCTTTAAATGTTTCCCAATAAAACAAAACATAACGTGAAACCGTTGCATGTTTTCGAGATATTTTTTCAAGCACTGTGAAAGCCTCAAGAAAATGACTTTTATACTTTTATTGTATGCACGAGACTCTATCAATAAAATGTGTTAAAACGAAGTGTTCTATCTTTTCTTTTATATCCTTGAATTTGTTTTTCATCTATATTTTTACAAGCTTTTATCATGATAGGTAGATCCTTTCAAACAAACTTAGACAGCTTCATTAGTATTACTTTTGTCGGGAAACAATGTAGTGTGATCAAGTTTTAATTCTAATTTCAACGTCAACAATGTAGAAAATGTGAAACTAAGCAATTAATCACATAAAAATCTAGGCTTATTGAGCGATTGCCGTTATTAAATAATAAGTCAGTAATTGCACCTTTGATGAAAGTAAAATGTAATCAATTTTATTAACCAAAGTATAAGTAATATTACCGGAATCGTTTCAATCTGAAAGCCAAGGTCGTATTTTGCTAGGTCCCCATTGATTTAAACAATAAATGAAGAAAGAATCGAAGACGTTTTAAACAAATTGAAAGATAAAATCGACTATTTACACAAGTCACAACATTTACCGTTATTAACATTGTACAAAAATTGAATTGTTAGTATTGGCGATTAAGTAAATATGAATAAAGTATTAGAAATGAATGATGAACAAACACGAAATGTACAGAACAATTAGTAGATTCACCATATTTGTATGTAACAAGTTAACCTACCTCCTAAAGTTCCTCCATTAACCGAAGTATTCACATTAGCACCATACAAACTCTGGGGAGTACTAGAATACAGGGAAGCACCTGCCGGTGTTTGTCGGTTAGTTTGAGGTTGCACAAGTACAGGAGCAGGGCTAACCAAGCGCATGGGTGTACCATTTCGCATTGCCGCACCTTGTGCCATAAGAATTGGGGTATTTTGATCATAGTATGGAACAATGTAACCCCCAGGAACTTGTGGCTGCAAAAGAGGTTACTTTTTATATATGCTATCTACACGTAATGTTATGTTAGCAGAATTTAAATTAAAATTGTAGCGAAAACTTAATTAATCTCCGTCACACAAACCATGAATAAATTCATCAAATTCAAAAGTTTCTAATAAATTTGTTAGTTTCAATAAAATTGGAAATTAACCACCAGAACGGTTCCATATTGGTAACGACCTAAATCGCGATTTTATTCTTATTTACAATTTACACAAACTGTGTTGACTTTACATGAAAGTGCTGTTAGTATGTACATTCCATGAATTTCTTGCTACGCAGTTTCATCCCATGTGTGTTAATTTCACAATTCCACCGATAGCATTTTCATTTAAAACGACGAATGATATATTACAGAAATAAAAAATATATTTATCATAAAACTAACAATAACTATTTTCACAAGGAATGTGATTACCGGAATTAAATCGGTAAACCTCAATACTGTTAGAGCAATGAGTCAGCAGATACTTTTTATGCGGTTACCAAGTTTTCGTAAAATCTTAGTTGTTTTAAATTATAAAAGTGATAAAGCTAAAAATTTTATAAAAAAAATGTTTCAAGGATATTGAGACGCAATGCACTTCAAAAGACTGGCAATACAAACGATGTTGGCAGCCGACGCGACCGACTGCAATTTTTTACCTAAAATTGAAAGAAACTTGGAAAAGATCTGCTTCTCGTTCAGTAACAAAAGTGACACATCTAAATATATAATTTGATATTTCACACAAACTGATTAAGCAAAAACACAACAAATATTTATGTTTTACAAAACAAAAACGATCTAAATCAGATTGGAACAAACGTTAATTTATTGGTTAAGTTCAGATTGAATCGCGACACTCTTCCATGCAAAACTTTGATTGACTTACAACAATGAAAACTTCTAAATACACAAAAGAGAGAAAACGAGGTGAGTCAAAATTACACAATTTAAAAACAATTCTTTTGTGACAATTCCTTATATTAATTATTAGATTTACCAAACAGAAACACATTTAAATGTTAAGGCCACGGATACCATCCATACCCAATTTAATTTAATCTAAATGTAAAAATCTTGCAAATATTTGAACTTTTTAACATAATTGTGAAACCACCGCAACATAAAAATATGTACATATATCATCAATTCGTCACTTTGCGGTTCTGCATTTCCGGTGGTGTTAAATATCACATGACACCTTCGTAAAAAATAATGTATGAAACTAATGGCGTCATAAAACAGTGCAACTCATCTAGTCGGAATAATTTAACAAGAAGTGTTTTTCAAACATTTTTTTTTTGTTTACGTAAAAGGAAAAATTCGCCATCACGCAGTCACATCTCATTCAAATTTAAAACATCATCCGTCCCATATAAATATCAAATTCGCACATCTAACGGTTCGTCCTAAAAACTAGCAATTCAACAACCGTTATAAACGTAAAATTAAATTCAACATTTGATATATACGATATTTCTCTAAAATGACACAAGAATCCATCACACGTTTCATTTTCCTTCGCTTACTTGTACTTGTTGTTGTGCTTCGGCTGTGCCATTTGGAGTGAGAGGTCTTCGGGCTCCGTTGCTAGCTCCTTGTTGGATGAGATTCGCCGGTGCCGGATATACCCATGGACCAACACCGTAGTATTGTGGGACACCGGCAGTAATGAGGTAGGAGGGTTCTTGCTGATGGTTAAGAACGTATGGTGGTTGAGGAAACGCCGCTTGTTGTTGTTGGGCGAGATATTGCTGTTGTTGTTGTTGTAACAGCTGCAATTGGGCGGCATTGGGAGTAGCCGCTTGGGTTTGTTGAGATCGGAAGAGTTGCTACAAGAGAAAAACGAAAGACACTGTTTAATTTTGTTTCTGTGATTAGTCGAGCGTAATGAATCAGAAACGTAACAGTAGTAACGTAACAGATACGTATTATTTACTCCGAGCAATAAGCAACAAGATAACTCTGATTGATGCGAATCGAAACTTTATAAATTTTAGAAATCTGATTGTAGGTATGCGTGCTCATTTCCATTTTGCGCATGAATAACTCAAAACAGTGTTATATCGATTACGTGCCTTAAGTAAGTACTTTTAATTATTTAACACGTAACTACTTGAAAAATGCGTGCCCAAAAAACACTGATTGAGGCACGTTCGACCTCCACTTTTTCAATATTTATTATCACTTCTTAAAAAAAGCGAGACATAATTGATTAAATAATACTCTAAATCGTAACGTTACGCTGGATTTTTTCGCAAATATTATTTTTCAAAGTCACTAATTTCCATGACATATTTATCCAAGTCGCGTAGATATAGAGGTAAACAAGAATTCGCCAGACAATCCATACCTACAAGTGTATTAGTTCGTTGTAACGGTATCGTGGCCGCAAAGAAATGCTTCCTCATCAACCGGCACAGAGCAATGACTCCGGGGCCTAAATTACCATTCTAGAATGACCAAGTTAAAAGATACTCAAAACCTAATCGGACATTGCGCAATAATTATATGCATACATAAGTCTGCAAATAATAGTTAGGCTCAGACTGAAAGGAAGTTAATTCATAAATTACTAGGTAGCATGAGCTGATTAATAAGGAACGACCAAATACGTCGTTGTTTATACATAATTCACTTTAAAAAATTACTTAGTACTGTCTTTGTTCACGACGTTCATTTAATTTTATCTCGTATCAAGCAACGGTTCATTAAAGAACACATTTTAGCAGATTCTCTAATAGATATCAGAGAAAGTTTGTAATTGGATTTTAAACTCTGATCAGTTGCTAAATATGAATTGCCATGACAGGTGAAATATTTCACTCTTAGTAAAAAAATTAACACAGCAGCAGCACGAGAAAATCCATGAACATGCCAATATTAACCTTGATATCCAATTTTTTAAGACATCGGATGTTTACTTGAATATTTTAATAACGAGGCCAGTCCAGTAAAAATTGCGATAATTATCTCTTTACGTCAAACATTTATCTACAGTTAACTTATAAGTTTTTTAATATGACTAGTTTTTGTTTAGAAGAAAGCAGCCACTTCTTCCACAATGTGTAGTTATTCTGTCCTATTAACACATAGCTGCAAGTGCTAACCATTTTGTAATATACATTCAATTTCTGACTCAAACTCCCGAAAGCTACAACTGCATCAAAATCTACAACAACGAAATGTGGTTACCGTTCCGTCTGTTTCACAACGGATACGGAAATCCACAATGACGTAAAATGATTTTTTCGTCAAATATTTCTCAATAAAATCTAAAGATTGCTATGAATCCTATTCAATTCAATTTGAAACTCATTACTTAAAATCAATACTTGCAGTACTTCCGATTAGATTATACAGCTACACTTCGCTACATTTTTATTGAAACAAGAATAAAATGTTTCAAATCTCGTCAATCCTGAAATACGAGATTGAAATACATATAACCGTACAAAATTATTAGAGTGAGTCTTTCTAAAACAGTTACGATTTATTTAAACCGTCTCAACAAAAACGTTTGCAACATTCATATAAATGCGACCCTATTAAAATATGACGTCTGTCCAATATCGTAATCTGATTAGATTCATCAAATATTATAGAACGTAATATGAAAATTTGACTCAATTGTCATCAATTATGACCCGAGTACTTTTTTTCCTGTCGAACGGAGAAATGTTTCAACGATAAAATTTCAAAAATGAGTAATTATGTAACTAAGAAATACATAATTTATAAAACCTTATCAGTATTAAGATTTATTCATAAAAACAGCACTTTTGTGAATGGTCCTATAACACTAACTCAAAAACCTATAACTTTGTAAAAGTAGAAAATACTTAGCATTTGATAAATTTAACTAGAGAAGGGTTAATTACTTGAATAATAATGATTAAAATTAACATTAAAGGTAGCCACATTATCTGTTCATACAACACTTTGAACTAAAAATGTTAAATTAGAAAGTTCTTATCTAGATTCGTTATAATTAACTTTAATATATCCACGAGCGGCAATAAAATGGAAAATTGCAGTTTACATTTGAAGACATAGTAACGATTATCGTTCCATCCCAAGATAATTAAAATCAATTTTAGAGAAAATAGACATAATGAAAATGTGACTACAGAGAAAGAAAGAGAAGAGTCTGGTAGGAAATCCGAGTCCTGTAGAAAGTAGTTCATGTGTGTTTTTTTTTCAAGTGACCTTTTTTGATACTATGATGATCATTAAAGGAACACATTTCCTTTTCCGACCGAAAGGAAACATACTTTCATATTGAAGACAAATTATTTACGTCATAAGAACGTCAAATATGTAGTGCATCAATAAATAAAATATGCACCGTAAAAGGATTATCTACAACAATGTTTCAAAATAGTTATATAAAACTTCAAAATTACATAAAAACGTCTACTACCTCTGTGCTCATAGACCATTAAATTACATTAAAACTTTACTTACATTAAAACAATCTCTCTATAGTGTAAAAAATGAATCTTCAAGTCAGATTAGGCCATCTACCTTTTATTATAAGTTCTTTAACCTGAGAATTTCTGAATTTTTACGTTTATATTCCATTATAATAAAACAAACATAAAGTTAGGAGTGCCTTTGAAAGAAGTACATGTAAAATATATCTAATAAAACTGAAGTCAAACTATAATTGAAACTTTCTCACTTATTAATCAATGTTAAAAACGATCTATCTAAAAAGTAACCTTGTTCACGTAAATTGGCAAACTTATTGTATAATGCGACCATGATTTAAACTTGACATTACAAACCTTGAATCGGTATTACATTGCGATTATTATTTCAAGATTTTATTACTTTCAATTATCGCAAGTTCAACTGGTCCATGATTTTCCTATTTCCATTCAGATTAAACAAATTTTGAAACGAGATAATTTCAATTCGATTATAACGAAGATGTGAAGCTCAATCCCATTTTTCTTCACTATAAAAGCTTTATTTAATAAATTGAAAATTGCTGCTGATGAAAATTTACTCGACAATGTAAAGTATTTGATCTAAATTTAATGTTAAATATAAATTGGAATAATTTCACAACATGGTGTATTGAAATTCATATTACAGCTTCGAAACTGAATTTTTATCAAAAAAGCTCATCGGAAAAAATATCAGGGACAAGTATGCAATAATTGCGATGAACTTCATTGAACCCGTTAAGAATGACCAAACAAAGACTAATATACGATGGTAATGACCTGAGTCCGTTATTCTTCGTGAGTTGCTCCACTTTATGAGAAAACGGTCTTTCGTAGTTTCACGACTTCATGTTAACATGCTAGACGCATAAACATTTTTTCATACCTTACATAAAGAAAATATGCGATTTGTAAAATCTCCGAGTCGAATCAACAAACATTGCTTAATGACGGAACTCTAGTGGACAAAGTAAGAATTCAAGAAGCGGAACGATGAACAATAGAATAATTTGTTAAAGCTCGAGGGCCGTCGACCTTTTTGACATCAAAAATAATTTTTAAGAGTGCGAATGTTGAGAAACAAAACACCGGTAATTATCCTATCGAAAACGTTTCGACTACTTTTACTAAAATAAAACAATCTTAAATTAAATCAGATGAGATAATTATCAGATTATTAGCATCAACGAACAGTTATCAGTTTTCACTAATTAAAACCAATATTAATACTAGATTAACAGCAGGCTATCAAAGTGAACACTAATCCGTTTTCCGTCATTATAATATGCGGGACATCTATTACATATCATGAATTAATAACAGGATAAAATACAGGACAATAAGAGTCCTAAATTGTTGCATAATTTGATAAAATGTGCTACTTCAGAAAGCAAACGCCTAGCGTTGCAATTTTTACGATTCTCTACCCGGATTTGTTTTGCTCATATTTACTTGCAAAATCAGATCTAGTAAACGTAAGCTTCTTACTTGTGCAAGTTCAAACTTGAAGTCCTGATAAAAAATTCAGAAAGTTTAATGGAAGATTAAGACAAAAACTAAAAAAACAAAAGCACAATTGAGCTCCGCCAGACTGAAGCCGAACAAGTAAGCAGATTTACAATTTATTCTTTGATATAAGCGCCATTTTACCCGTTATGGCTTACTAGAAGCTATATTTTGGACGCAAAATCCCCTGGTATTTCTTGAGAATAACACCGCCTCCTTCATTGTTCAATAGTGATGTTACGCAAAGTGTTTTCATTATTTAAATGAGATTGCGAAGTTTCAGTTAACATACCACTAAATTATCCTACACGGTAATACCTGACATAATACGCAAACACCTCGAGGGGCACTGTATCATCCATAAGATATAGCAGATTCATTTTGTTTCAACACCATCATCTTAGATGTTCTCACAGGATGAAGAAAATTTAGAGAAAATTGTGCCGTTCACCTTGGCACTGAAATTTTACCAGTGAGACTGACACAACGTGTCTGACACCTTCAGTGAATGCTTTCATGTGTAGGTATATAATAATTTTGAACAAGTTGTCGACGACGGAATACTTATTGTGTTTAAATCCAGACATTTGAAATACGATTTTCAATTCTACTCGTTCTATTTAAGTCAAAAACACATGTGACATCAAGAAATAGAATATTAAAGACGTATTCTAACTAACGGCTATTGTAACAAGTGTGACATACATTATATTTATTAACAATACGACCCGATAATGCCTATGTTTATTAACTGAATTTTATTTTACGTTCTGGTGAATGAATCGCGATAAAAATGCATAAGTATCGGTAGATTGAAGCACCTCTGATATGCTTCCCTAATGAAATCAATGATTTTTATCGGACGTTTTCAA